ACTAAAAATAAATAAATAAATAAATAAATAAATATAAATAAATAAATAAAATAAAACCTCACACTTGTCAGAATGGTTATCTATAATAATAAAAGCGTAATATGCTAATTAGATAGGTTGTCCTTCCAGATGAAACCAGGGCTGCAAGGGAAGCCTGGGTCCCAGGTGCCAGAGGGAAACCGGTACTGGCAGTCAGGGGAAGAAAAGTCAATGGGTTGAATTTCATGCATCGAGCCTCTAGTCAATAAATATAAAAAGTGCTGGCAAGAATGTGGAGAAAAGGAAACCCTTGTGCACTGTTAGTAGGATTGTAAACTGGTGTGACCCCCATGGAAAGCAGTAGGAAAGTTCCCCAAAATATTAGAAACAGCCCTAGCTGGTTTGGCTCAGTGGCTAGAGCACCGGCCTGCGGACTGAAGGGACTTGGGTTTTATTCTGGTCAAGGGCACGTGCGCGGGGATTGCAGGCTCCATCCCCAGTGTAGGATGTGCAGGAGGCAGCCAATCAATAATTTTCTCATCACTGATGTTTCTCTCTCTCTCTCCCTCTCCCTTCCTTTCTGAAATCAATAACATAGTAAAAAATAATATGGTAGTGATGGAAATACTAATAAAGTTCAGGTCAGAATATATAATTTCATGTTTATAAAATAGGGGAAATATGACCATATTTATACTTGTATGGGCATAAAACTGGAGTTTCATGGCTGCTTATGAAGAGAGAGAACTATATTTTGGGGAAAATGGGAATGAAGGAGTCTGTTTCCTATATAGTTTAGTATATATTTTAATTGAAAGAAATTAAAGAATTTAACTGAAAAAATGCAGGCAGGGGGAGACCCTAAACAAGACTCTGGAAGCCAGACTTCTAGACCCCACCTGGCATTAACTGTGTTACCTTGGGCAACTGGACAAATTCTAAAAATGTATGATCTCAATGGGAAGGGGATATAGTAAATATATGGTACTAATTTTTTTTAAAGATAGGTGAGAGGCACTAGTCCAACATTTTGCAAAATAAGGCAGCTTTTTGAGGACTTGATGGCTTTCAAATACTATTATTACCATTTAAATGTTGGGAGAGTGTGTGTGTGTGTGTGTGTTTAACCTTCACCCAAGGATATTTATCCCATTGACTTTTATAGCAAGTAAAAAGGAAGATGGAGGGAGGAGAAAAAAAAAACCCACACAAACCCCTTGTTGCTTTCCACACAAGGGTCGGGGATCAATGGAACCTGCAACCAAAGTGCCCTTGACCAAAAATAAAACCCTCGACCCTTCAGGTCACAGGACAACGCTCTAGCCACTGAATCAAACCAGGAAGGACAAATATTATTATTATCACTTACAAACTGTAGTATGGCCTGGCAAGTGTGGCTCAGTGGTTGAACAACGACCTTTGAACCAGGAGGTCATGGTTCAATTCTCAGTCAGGACACATGCCCAATTGATGGCTCACCTGCCAGTGGGGGGGGGGGGGGTGCGGGAGGCAGCCAATCAATGATTCTCTCTCATTACTGACGTTTCTATCTCTCCCAGTCCCTTCCTTTCTGAAATCAACAAAAATATATATATATATATTTTAAAACTGTAGAGCCCTCACCGGTTTGATTCAGTGGATAGAGCGTCATCGGCCTGCAGTCTGAGAGGTCCTGGGTTCAATCCTGGTCAGGGACATTTGCCTTGGTTGGTGTGCAGGAGGCAGCTGATGGATGTTTCTCTCTCATTGATGTTTCTAACTCTCTGTCCCTCTGACTTCCTCTCTGTAAAAAGTCAATAAAATATATATTTTTAAAAATCTGTAGAATGGCCGAAACCAGTTTGGCTCAGTGGTAGAGCGTCGGTCTGCGGACTGAAAGGTCACAGTTCGATTCCGGTCAGGGGCATGTACATTGGTTGCGGACACATCCCCGGTAGGGGGTGTGCAAGAGGCAGCTTATCGGTGTTTCTCTCTCATTGAGGTTTCTAGCTCTCTCTCTCCCTTCCTCTCTGTAAGAAATTAATAAAAATATATTATTTTTAAAAAGCCTGTAAAATGGTCAAGTCTATTAATCTTTTGAGGTTATTTGTACTATTTTTACATAGAAACCTTTCTTAGAAGGAATCTAATGGAAATACTTAAAAGGAATAGTCTACACATTACTTTGTTTCCATTGCCACACTTTTAAAACAGTTTTAAATAGATTTTAAGTCTTTATAGTCTGCCATGGAGTGAGCAATAAACACTAAAACAATTGACATTTAAAATACATAAATGACTAATCCTTAAACAAGAACTTACACTACTTAAAGGTGTTTATTACCAGACACAAAAAAAACACCTCCAATCTAGTTAGCAACTATAACTAACAGTACACACTTTATTCCAGGTTCTGATATCATGTATCATCTTTAATCCTACCATTCATCTGGTAAAGCAAATCTTAGTACTCCTATTTAACACATGAAACAAGGAGGTTATAGGAAGATAAGTGACTAGCTTGAGACCGCATTAGGAGTTACTTAATTTCAGCTGGCAGGCTGGTGCAGGTTTGCCACAGTTTTTACTAATTTATATTAAAATGAGGACAAATAAAAGTAAACTTTGTAATAAAGTTAAATGATTCTATTTAAAGGGCTTTTATTCTGAGATACTGTTCTTTCAAGTTGAGTTAAAATATCCTTTATTTATTTTTATTTTTTAAAAATATATTTTTTTATTGATTTCAGAGAGGAAAGGAGAGGTAGAGAGAAACATCAACGATGATTGATTGCTGCCTCCAGTATGCCCCACACTAGCCCATACCCTAGGCATGTGCCCTGACCGAATTTCGTGACCTAAGTTAACGCTCAACCACTAAGTCACGCTATTGAGGTAAAATATCCTTTTTTTTTTTTTTTTTTTAAATGAAATTATGGTGGCAGTAAATATGGTGTGAATTATTATTGCTGTTTTTATTGGCTATACCTGGCAGGACAAAAAACTGTCAACTCTATTACAATGTCCCAATTTTGGGGGGAAATATTTCTTTTAAAATCCAAAAAGTCTGGGAACTATTCTTGTAGTGTTGCTTCCCAAAATACTACAGGACTTAACACACATATACTCTCAAACACAGTCATGATTCTCATCAATTTCTACTTCATTCTATTTAAATTAGGACACTTAAGAATTGAGAAATGAGAATAAGATGAGTTTCAACAAGTCACATGAATTAACACTGAATTCCTTTCATCAGTTAATTTTTCTCATCCTTTATCTTCAATTCTACTCAAACCTCAGCTCAAACTTACTTTTCCTAAAATAGTCATGTTTTTAACTACTTCTGCTTAATTGCAATCAATACTTAAGTAGAATTTTAAAAACTACTTGCAGTCTCCAATAGCCTGCTTTTACTTAAAGCCTTTTTTACTTTAGCAAAATAAAAACTTTAATGATGTTTATTCTATGTGATTCCAAAAGGAAATTGGCCTATAAATCACTCGTCACTTAAATTTACAAATTTCTGTATCTCCATTAAATAGATAAAGTTTGTAAATAGTGACCAGACAAGCTGCAATGCTATCTTGTTCCTGTAATCACTAATATGTATGTCAAAATAAAGCAGGTAAGCTTATACAATTGCCTACCTAGCAATTTATAGGAGGGGAAGAAAGTGTTCAAAGGTGACCATAGTTAACAAATTCAAAATATTAGGCATAGTATGTCTCTATTAAAATTGTAACCTATCAACTTTGAAATCATTACTCTCACTTTTGCTACTTTTTAAAAACGAATCTTCCTAAATTAAAAAAAAAAAAAGCAACCAACCACTTTTAAGATATAAATTCCTCTTTTATTAAGTGATCTGTGTAGGTCAATCTAATGCAGAAAATAAAATTTAATACGTGAATCAACAGCATCATTTTTTAAAAAACAAACCAATAGCCGGGAACGGTTTGGCTCAGTGGATGGAGCGTCGGCCTGCAGACTGAGGGGTCCCGGGTTCGATTCCGGACAAGGGCATGTGCCTTCGTTGCGGGCGCGTCCCAGTGGGGGGTGTGCAGGAGGCAGCTGATCGATGATTCTCTCTCATCGATGTTTCTAACTATCCCTCTCTCTTCCTCTCTGTGAAAAATCAATAAAATATATATTTTTTAAAAACCAATAAACTGACCAATACCTCCAGTTTAGCAATGCATGTTCTTTTCATCTTCTGTGGTGATCCATTACACTAATCAACAAGGTTTAAAAAGTCACCCCAATGCCCAAAACATCACTACACATCACACACTCAGATTTCACTCAAATGAAGCTTAAGCTAGACCCAAACTCGGACCATTTCCCCATCTCTGGAACCCTAAACTTACAAGAGAGGAAATCCAAAAAAATCAGATAAGTTAAGTGCTGGTATCTCTTCCAGAGTGGGGTCAAATTCGTGTTTGCCCGCAAATGTCACCGGCTCGGTAAGTGCAAATTCTCATTAGCGCTACAGAGTACAAAGAGGCCTGGCCGCGGAAACACCTGTCCCAGCGCCGGGAAGACGGTGGGAAGGGCGAGCCCCGAGCCCGTGCCTGCCGCACCGCCCGGGACCGCAGCGATCCCGGACCCCCGGCGGACTCTGGCCGCACGGCTCCCCGGGGAGGGTCCCACGCCCCGGCCCGCCTCCCGGCGACCGCGAGCACATCTGTCAAGCCGGCCGGACCGCTCCCCGCGGACCGCTCTCCCCCTTCCCGGCGGCCCCAGCCGGCCCCGCTGCTCCCGTCCGCGCCGGCCTCCGGCTGCACTCTGCCACCTCATCCCTCCTCGCCAGGCTCGCGGCCCCGCCACCTCCGCCCCGGCGGCCTGCTCGGGGGCCGCCCCAGGACCCGAGCCCCCGACCGGAGCCCCAGGCCGCCGCCCCCCACCCACACCGGCCCGCCGTGGGCTCCTCCGCGGCCCAGCCCCTCCGGCCCCCAGGCCCGAGCGCCCGCCAAGCGTTCCCCACCCCCCGCCCCCGCCCCACTCGGCCGTCCCCGGCGCGCTCCCCTCAGCCGGGCTACCTGGAGGCAAGGGCGGCGGAGCACTTCACCCAGGGTCCGAGGTCGCAGAGGGCCCGGTGCTCGGGGTCCCGCTCCTTCTCCCGCTCCACGTGGTAGGCGTAGATGGAGAGCAGGATCCCGGCGGCGCACACTGCATACCGGGCCGCCCGCTCCCACCGCGGCACAGACACTCTCAGCAGGACGGGCGCCGCCATCTTCCCCCCTCCGCCGCCGCCGCCGCCTCCTTCTCTTTCGCCGCCGCCGCCGCCTCCCTCCGCCTCCACCTCAGCAGCCGCCGCCCGTCGGGGCCCGACCCAGCCACCGCCACTACCGCCACCGCCTCCGTGGCCGCCGCCACCGCCGCCACCGCCGCCGCGCCCCATTGGCTCGGCCGCCTTCCCCAGGCCCCGCCCCCACGGGCGCGCGGCCCAACTGCCCCGAGAGGAGGGAGCCAGGCGAGGCGGGAGGCGCGCGCGGGCGGAGGGAGGAGCGGAGCGCGCAACCGTCCGGGGGCCTGGCCACCAGGCGGAGGTAGAAGGCGCGCGCAGCGAGGGGGCCGAGGGCGGAGGAGCGGCCAGAGGAAAGGAGGGGCGGGGTCCGTGAGGGGAGGGGGGGCGGGGTGTCATAGGAGGCCCTTGGGGACCAGGGGCAATGAATACATTTCAAAGGTATTTCCCTGTGTGACTTGGTAAACCCTTGGCCCCGCCCCCTGGGAGTGGTGATCAATTGCCATCTTTTTTTTTTTCATAATCACTTGCTATTTTCTGACCCAATCCAAATTAACCCTGCCCATTGCCTGCATTACCTGATCTTCCCCACCACTGCCTCCAGACACCTCCTGTTCAACAGGTGTGAACTTAACTATTTTTTTAAAAAGTATTTCTGAATGCCTTGCATCTCTGTAAACTGAATTTGGGATGGCTTCACGTCTATACTAATTAAAAAAGTATGCAAATTGACTGTACCTCTGTGATGACAACCAGCCAATCAGGAGTGAGTATGCAAATTAACTCAACAAAAAATGGCAAGTTAATGTGCATATGCAGGCACCGAGCACACCCCTGATTGGCTGGTGAGCATTGTGGAGGTATGGTCAATTTGCATATTTCTCTTTTATTAGTGTAGATATAAAAATGAACTAAAAAAAATCTGGATTAAAAATAATAATAAAACAAATCAGGATGAAGAACCAAGCAATTCAGAATAAAAGAAAAGACCAGGAGTAAGAACACACATAAATAGGCCATAGGGTCTTACCTGATTATTACAACTGAGCCATATATTTGTCTCTGAGCATCCTCGTGGCCAAAACTAGAAAGAAAACATATGTGTTATTCTCATTTTCTCTAAGAAGAAATAAACCATTCTTGGAGATGGTTAGCTTTTTCCTGGTTACAGCTCTCAAAGATATTTCAGAAGCTTTATATAGTGATTTTGGATAATCACGGTCCTTTGATTATCTATTGTTAGGTAGCAAATTACTTCATATTAGCAGCTTAACAAAAAAACCAAACCCCTTATTTTCTCACAGTTCCTGTGGGTCAGAAATTTGAATGCCCTGTAGCTCTGGCTGAGGATCTCAAGAATACAAAGTGTTGGCAAGCCTAAAGGCATTTCAAGATTGGAGAATCCTTTTCTAAGCTCACTCACATAACCTTTCTTCCAGCCACGCTCAACTATGTGTTTAAGCTTTTTTCCTTAGAATATTTTACCTGGTATTTCTATATTTGTATTTTCTGTGTTGGCTCAATTCACCATGCCAGAAACATACACAAAAGATTTCTATGAGCTCATTCATTACCCTAGACTTGCTTTTCTGGGTTAGAATGCTGTACTCTACATTTTTCTGCCAAAGTTTTAGAAAAGGTCACAGCAAGATACAGCAGTATCTTTGAGGTATGGCAGTAGCTGGCCAGAAATTTTTCTATAGCAGAATCTGTGAAAGCCCAGGCCTCCTGAGGTCCTTCAGAAAAATACCACTCAAAGTGAATGTCTTATCAAGAGGGGATGGATGTCTCATTTCTCACTCAATGGATAATGGATTCTGATATTATTTCATTATTGAGAGTACAGAGGAAATGCTCATTTTAAAACACTGCATGAGGAGTGGACCAGTAGGCATTCTATGTACAGAGATGAGCTGCTGACTTACCCAGTACAAAGGTGTTTCAACGGCCCTGTTTGAGGCGCATGCATAAGTCAACCAATGGATATGTCCCTCTAATGTCAATGTCAATGTTCTATGTCTCTACCCCTCCCTTCCACTTTCTAAAAAAAGAGTCAATGGAAAAATATCCTTTGGTGAGGATTAACAACAACAAAAATAAATAAAATGCACAGAAAATTTGGATTTCCCCCCTAGCATTTATCCCCATAAAACATAATATGGGCACAGACATGCTCCCAGGAACAAGCAAGAATTACAACTGAAATATGGAAAGGCTTCCTGAATAATCAATGGAAAACTCATAGGAGAGAATCCTGATACCAGAGGACCTAAGGTGGAGATGGCATAGAGACTGGTAGGAGAGGCAGAGTCATGAAAGGGCTGGCTGGGTGCCCACAGACAGCAACTGAAGCCCCAGAGAGATATCTCCACTGTTGCGGTGAGGTGGTGTGACACTGAGAATTCTGGGATCTAATCCCCAAGCTGGGCTCTCCAGCAGAGAGCACCAAATCTGAGAAGGGTACCCACATAACATCTAGCTGTGAAAAGCAGCAGGGGAGTGGCAGCTGAAAGTTTGGCACCCTCTTGAAGGGCCAATGCACAAAAATTCCCTATGGAACCACTCACAGTGTACTCTGGCAGAGGAAGGGTAAAGTGGACTGGAGCTTTGAGAGAACCCAGGTCTGGGAACTTAGGAAATAAAGTCCCTCACCCCAAGTTTCCTGGGCTGAGTCATTCTCTCATGTAGCAGAGAATATCTTTCCCACATAGACATTTATCTTGCCTGGGGGAAGACAGTTGACATATTCTATTGGAAAACACCTTGTCCTGAGACCAACTTAAAAGATTAAAAGTAACAATTCGCCTCCAGGCGGAAGCAACCATCTCATCCTGTTGAAAAAAAACTCTCACCACATCTGAGGACAATTACCTGGGGGCAATTCAAATCAGCATCCTATTAGTCTGTAGACAGAGGCAGTTTCTGGAGGTTTTGAGTCTTTGCCTGATCCAATTAGTCAGAAATAGCCTTTAACACTGCCCTGCACTAGAGATTGAGAGGTGTAGAGGATCTACATAAAACATAGACACAAAACCAAACAGACAACCAAAATGAGGAGACAAAGAAACAACCCCAAAATGAAAGAACTAAAAATTCTCCAGAAGAGATAAATGAAGCAGAGATAAGAAATTTATCTGAAACAGAGTTCAGAGTAATAATGGTAAAAAAGCTCACCAGTATGAAAAGAGATATAGTAACTGAAAAAAGAACACTCTGAAATAAAGAATGATATAACACAAATAAAGAATACATTGGAAGGAATACACAACAGATTATGGGATGCCGAGGATCAAATCAGTGAATTAGAAGACAGAGTTGAAAATATCAATCAGAGAACCAAAAAGAAAAAGCAATTTAAAAATAGGAGGACAGCTTAAGGGAGCTGTGGGACAACGTGAAACATAACAAAATTCAAATAGCAGGTGTGCCAGAAAAAGCAGAAAGGGAGAAAGGAATAGAGTTTGAAGAAATAATGGCAGAAAACTTTTCTAACCTGCTAAAGAAAAAAGTCACACAAGTTCAGGAGACACAGAGAACCCCAAACAAGAATAACCCAAACAGCCGAAACCAGTTTGGCTCAATGGATAGAGTGTCGGCTTGGGGACTGAAGGGTCCTGGGTTCGATTCCGGTCAAGGGCATGTACCTTGGTTGTGAGCACATCCCCAGTAGGGGGTGTGCAAGAGGCAGCTGATCGATGAATCTCTCTCATTGATGTTTCTAACTCTGTATCTCTCTCCCTTCCTCTCTGTACAAAATCAATAAAATATATTTTTAAAAAAAAATAACCCAAACAGACCCATGCCCAGACACATCATAATTAAAATGACAAAGAATTTTAAAGGCAGCAAAAGAAAAACAAAAAACAAAAGTTACCTTCAAAAAAGTTCCCATAACTCTGACATCTGATTTCTCATCAGAAACTCTACAGGCCAGAAGGAAATGGCATGAAGTACTCAAGGTAATGAAAAGCAAGGATCTGAGACCATGATTACTATATCCAGCAAAGTTATCATTAAAAATAATCAAATAAAGAGCTTCCCGGACGAAAAAAAAAAAAAAAAGCTAAAGGAGTTTATTACTCCTAAGCCAGCATTATAAGAAATGCTAAAGGGACTGCTATAATGGATAGCTGAAAAGAAGAAATAGAAAGAGATTTTGGGTGGTTGTGCGTTCATTTTCATTTGTTTTCAGGAATTTTTTCTTTCTTTCTTTATCTCTTTGATAACACATTCATTGTTTAATAACATGCTATTTAGTCTCCATGTGTTTGAATGTTTTTGCTGTAGTTGATTTCTAATTTTATTCCATTGTGATCTAAGAAGATGCTTGATATGATTTCAATCTTCTTGAACTTGTAGAGACTTGTTTTGTGTCCTCACATGTAGTCTATCTTTGTGAATGATCCCTGTGCACTTGAGAAGAATGTATATCCTGCTGCATTGGGGTGAAATGTTCTATAAATCTCTATTAAATCCATCTGATCCAATGTGTCCTTTAGAGTCTCTGTTTCCTTGTTAAGTTTTTACCTGGAAGATTTGTTCAGTGAAGTCAGAGGCATGTTAAAGTCCTCTACTATGACTGTATTGTTGTCAATCTCTTCATTAAAGTCCTTTAGAAGTTTTAAAAATATTATATATTTTCAATGTCAAACAGGCTGGCAGGCAGAAGTGGTTAGGGGTAATCAGGGAGGCAGGCAGGCAAGCAGTTAGGAGCCAGCAGTCCTGGATTGTGAGAGGGATGGGGTCTAAACGGGAAGTTGAACATTCCTTGAGGGGGTCCCAGATTGGAGAGGGTGCAGGCTGGGCTAAGGGACTCCCCCCTACCCCGTGCACAAATTTCATGCATCAGTCCTCTAGTGTTTATATATTTTCAGAATACAATTCCAAGACCATGTGGATTCCTGCAACAGAGAGGAATTGACAGGACTGCTCCAGCCATGAAGACAGAAGAGAAACAGTCCAGAGATGGAAGACACTGACGACACCTT